AGGCCTCTCTCATCTTTTTAAGTGGGAGAACTTGTACAATTGGTGGCTGACTAAATACTTTTTTGCCCCACTGTAGTCTTTAGTTATTTAGTTAAATAGCTTTCATCTTTAGTTGATCTTTGGATTTTATAAGCTTCCTTTAAAGCTTTGTGGTGCCATGTTTGCAGGATATTCATTTTGTGAAAAATTAAAACCAAATATTTTCCTTTAGGACTTTCCACCATTGAGGAAGTAAAATCAGGAGTGCAGCATATCCTGGCTGACATGGTTGCTAAAGATAAAGAAACACTGGATTTTATCAGAGATTTGTAAGTAACTTTGTCATAGACAGATCCTTTTGTTAGAGATTGGTAAAGTTGAATTTTGTCAGTCCTGTGGATTTTCTGGCAGTCTTTTTTTCTTGGGGTTGAATATATTTGGTTCTTCCATATGGTCAGGCAAAATTTTGTAAAAACAGAAACTACACCGCAGTACTGAAGAAGCTCATGAATTCTTTTTTTTTAAAAAAAGGCAGTAGGTGCACTTATAATAATATGTGTGTATAGAGCCATATACTGCACATTCCTGAGGAGAGTTCTCCAGGCTCCCACTATACCTCCTGATTCATGTTCCTGACAGCTTTAAGGTGGGCATAAAACATTACCTGCCGTGGCTTTCTATTAATTTATCTGCACTAAATATGTGATCAGTGCCTGGGGGCTCAGTTTGTAAACACTCTGTCAAAACATCCTTCTAGGCCATTCTGAAAAATTAGAATAGTGGCTTCTAGCAGCTCAGTGCTGACTGGAATGTTACTGTTGTTTTCATCATTCTCCAGCAGGTTAAGTCCACCAGAATGTATTACCAGCATAAGGAGTGGGGCCACCAGCAAACTTTTTTTCAGAGCCCCTGGAAAACATGCCTTCTCAACCATTCATTCATTCACTCACTCACTCGCTCACTCACCTACTTTGCTTGTATGCCACCTGTTCCCAAAGGTTTTAGGTGGCTAGCAATGTCAACATATAGAATAAAAGCCCCCTTAAACATATAAGAAGTAAAAAGATCAAGAAAGATTTAAAAAAACAAAAAATTCAAATGTCATATGCCTGTGAGTCCATCTTCAAATTCTAACACACCTTTCCCCTCTGTAAGACAGAAAGGTTGGTCTTCAGAGATTTCCTAAAGCCACCCCGCCAAAAGGGGGAGGGGCTACTAGAATGCTTGTTTCATTTTTAATTTTTTTAAAATGTTATATAATTATCATATTTTCACTTCAACCTTCACTTTAGGGTAAATCTTATTTTATATATGTATTCCTTTCCCTTTTCTTTGTTTTTGCTTTTTTGTTGCTTGTTTTACCTAATTAATTAAAAAAATATTTAAAATGGGTTTTCTAAAGACCAAAAGACCCAAGGCTGACTGAATTTCTGCCAGGAGGGAGTTCCCAGAATTGGGGCAGCTACTGAAAGTACCCACTCCCAGGGCCACATCAGGTGACAATCCCTTAGTGATGGGACCTGGAACAGAATTGATTCTATTTGATCTGGTTGGATGGGCAGGTGAAAACAGGAGAAGGAGGTCTCTCAGATAAGCATTTGCAGAGCCATATACAGCCTTAAAGGCAACAACCAACACCTTGAATCATATCCAAAAGCCAACTGGCAATCATTGTAGTTCCTGAAGCACTAGGATCACCCTATCAGGACACATCCATCGCTGCCAGGCTACCACATTCTATACCAGTTGTAGCTTCTGAATGTTTTTCAAGGGCAGCCCGAAGTAGAACTGTAATGGGCTGTGAGAATAACCTTGGGAGACGAGGAGCAGCCACAGCCTAGACAAAGGTCAGACAAGAGATATCTTAGCCCACAGAAGGAATGAGGGCAGAGATATCTCTTGTCTGACCATTGTCTAGACTGCAGCTCTTCCTCATGTCTCCCAAGGCCCATTGCAAGAGCACATTGCAATAGTCCAAATGGGTATGAGTGACTGTGAGCAAGGCTTCCCAGTCCAGGAATGGCAATTGGCACACAGGTGTAAGGTGTAACTATGCAAAGGTCCTCCTAGTCACAGGTGCTACCTGCTTTTCAAGCAGGAGGTGTGAGTCTAGGAGAACTCCCAAATTGTGGATCACCTGTAAGCAGGGGAGTATAACCCTGTTCATAGTCAGAATTTCCCTGGAATATTTAGGCCCACAAACCCAAACCCATGTTGGAGGGATTCAGTGTCTTTTCCTCCGCATCCACATCTGGACAGCCTCCAGCATTCCTGCTGCATCCCTTTCAGCCTAGGGATAAGATGTATAAGTGATACCATCCACATGTTAATGACATCAAACCCCGTGCCAGTGGATGACATTCAGATGTTACATGTAGATATTAAAAGGGAATACAGAGAGGAGAGATCCCTTAGGTATTTCACAGAGTTGAGGTGTCCTTACTGGAAATGTACCTTCAAGAAGCAGGAGAAACACTGCAGAACAGTTCCCTGGAGATGGTCCAGAAGGATACCATGTCAGTGTTATTGAAACTATTGAGCAATCAAGGAGGGTCAGGATGGTTTGTTTGTTTGCTTAGGAAATTTATGAGGCTACCCAACTCTACAACAACTCTGGGTGGCATATAGTAAAGACAATAAATTTAAAAAAATGTTACTGGTTGCAGTCTCCTGATCCCAGTCTCTCCAAAGCTTGTCCACAAGAGTAACCAATGCAGTTTCCATACTATATCCCAGCCTGAATGAAGACTGTCAGAGGTCCAAATAAACAGCTTCCTAAGGTTCTTTGTGGTTATAGGCCACCACTTTCTCCATAATCCTTTCAAGAAAAGGAAGGTTGGAGACAAATCTAAAGTTGTCCAAAACAGTCAGATCTAGCAAAAGCTTCTTGAGCAGAGGATACACTATACAGGTAGGCCTTGTTGAGCTACCACATTTGGGACCAGCAACTTGGTTGTTAAGTGAAACAGTTGCTAAGTGAAACAATCTTACTTCAGCTACTTTTTTATCAGCATTGTAACTGTGAACAGTCACTAAAAGAGGCAGTGACTAAATGAGGACTACCTATAGCCTGCTTCAGGCTGATGGAAACACCCCATATCCAATCTCTTTCCAACTCATAGAAAGCCTTAACCAGCCATTAGGGGCAGGGATCCAGCTGAGAAATGTTGGAGCTAATGCTGCAGAGGGCTGTACTCACTTCCTTGGGACTCATAGTCTTACAATGAACCCAGAACTCTTTACAAGATGAGACCGGTTTTGTCTGGCAAATGTTGCAATAATTCTTCATAGTACCTTTCAGATGGTCTAGGTGAACATCCTTCCCTAAAAGAGAGCAAATTTCCTTAAAAGAGGCCACTGGGTGGCATTTGGCCAATGCAGACAGGATGACAAAATCTATCCTTCTTTCTCACTTTCTTGCTTGCTTGAATCACCACTGTGTAGCCTCAATGTGAACACAAGACAGGAGTTCCTCAAGCCATGCTCTAGGCATCTCTGTCATTTCATCTCCCTGATTTCCTCAATAAACTAAGAGGCTGTATTGGTTCTACACTTTGGCCTCTTCGGTGCAATCCAGTCCAGTGAACGTCATTCCACTGGGCAACCAGAGTCTTGGTCAAACTGCCCACTAAATTCTCAGGAAACTCCCCAAAGACCCCTCTGAAAATCCACAGGATCTATTGGATGGCCATACAAATAAGGTCTCGCATCTGGCTACCTATGAAGTAGTACCTCTTGATTGCCAACAGAGTTTTAAAGATGACAATAACTATTCATTCCACCCATGCCAAATCCGAAACCTAAGTGAGCAGATTTCTGTGAATGGAACTCCCTCCTTCTCTTCCTTCCAGTTTTCAGTAACATAAATCAGGTTTGCCCTCTCACCTATAATTAAATTGTGGCTGTCTCAAAATGAGGAGACTTGAAGGCCAGATCTGGCTCTCAGCCAGGGATTAGTCCAGGCTTCCCACAGGATCCAAGCCAGGTGACATCTCCAAATTCTTTTGCAGGAACCAGCTTTTTAACAGGATTAAGTCATGATGTATATAGTTTGGCTTTGGCTTAGTATGCTATGCAAATCTATTTTGTTTGATTTGTAACAATTTTTTTTTCTTGGAGTGGGTTTAAGCTAAGACAAAGGCAACAATTCACAAGATGACTTAATACAAAGCATATTTTCTGGATTGAAGACAGTACCCAGCTTAAAAAGGTCATATCAGAGGCTATATTCCAAAGAGTAATAGGTAGGACCAGGATGAAAAAATTAAAATCAATTTCATTCATTTATATTTAATTAAAGTTAAATGTTATAGCCATGCATTTAATAATTTACCTTCCTATCACATTAAAATTTATATTTTGGTATCAATTTTTAGAAAGCAGGATACACATCTCTAGCCTGGTGTTAGGAGTGAAATGTATCAAATTAATTTTGAAAATATGTTTACAGTATTTTAATGTATTATGAAATTGAGAATAATAATTAAGTCATTTCAGTAATGTTGCTATTATTCAGATGTACAGAGAAATTCTGTTGACTAAAGGATTTCTTGTTTGTTTTAAAAATATAGATGTCAAAGAAAATACATTTGCATTCAGTCATCTCTGGCAAAACTGACTTCTAAAAAAGTCAATGAAAAAGATGTCAACAAATTTCACTTGTATCAGAATTTTTCTTGCAACATAAAGAACATTCAACATCACCAGGTATGTCTGCAAATCACTGTCTAAAGCAGTATCTCTTAAACAAGAAAAGAAAGATACATTTCTTTCAAGAAATCTGTTATGTGCTGTAGTAGTTAAAGTGTTGACTAATAGTGGGGAAACCTAGGATCTAGTCCATTCTCAGCCATGGAAGCCCAGTGAGTCACATTGAGCCAGTCACCCTTTGTCAGCCCAACCTACCTCAAAGAGTTGTTCTCTTATGGGGAAAAATAGCAGGAGGGAGTACTGTACCTGGAACCTTGCAGCCCTGAATGAAAAGTCAGATATAAATACAGTAGATCAAGCTCTTGAACTATTTTCCTGTTGCCTAAGGCAGTCTTTTAGGTATGTATATGGAATGGAAAACATGTTTTGTATCAAACTTGAAGCAAGCAGACTGTGGCTTAGAAGTTTGCCTGTACTCTTCCGGATCAGTCCAGCTGGGCCAAACCAAAACTTGGAACATTTAGATTCTTCCAGATTTTAACTGTAACAAATTCTGGAGAGGTCTTAAGGAGTGAGTAGAGATGCATAGGTGTGCCTCGCCCCCCCCCTCCTCCTCCACTGGCCTATGTGCTAACCTGCTCGTTGTTCCTGCTAATGCCCCCCTTTCCTTCTTCCTCTTAGCTGTCATGCATCATTCTTGAAATCAAGCCTGATATGTCCATCCATGGAGGAGGCTCAAGTGAGCTGGTTGGATATACCTTGCTTGTGTTGGGGGTGAGCCAGTGGCTATGCCCCATGGGTTTCAGGCCATGGTAATATCATGATAAACCCTGGTTTGTTTTAACTGTTTTGTCGAATAAGCCACAGTGACCCAGTAAGCTATACAAATCACAATGACTGGGTTCTCACATGATAGTGTTGTAAAGATGAATGGAGGGAAGCTATTTGGGAGTAGTTTATTGTGCTGACTTCAGATTGACCGTGTTCCTGTTATTATGGGTGGAGGGGGACTCCATTAGCCTGTATCTTCCCTTATTTAGTGGTTTGCTGCCTTTTGTCTGTTGTACTGCAGTGCAATGATGTTTACTGTTCAAGGCGCCAGAGATGTGGCTCTCTGAGAGGAATCAGAAGTAAATGGCATGTTCCACTTAGGCCTAACAATCAAGTCTGGAACAGCCAATGCTGACCAAGAGGCTGTTGTGGCTTGATGATGATTGGATAAATTGAATCTGTCACTCAAAGAATTTCCAATCTGAATACCTCCTCTCAGCTAGGTTCCTGAGGGAGGGATATAAGTGGAGAGGGCTGGTTTCCAAGGATCTCAAACTGTCAGCAAGAAGGGAAGGAACTGGGATTTGGATAGAAAGATGTGTCAGAGTGAAGCTGTTTACCCAAGTATATCTTTCAGCAGTTGGAATGAATGATTTAAAGTGAATTGTTTAAAGAATGGTTTAAAGCATGAGACATCCCTAGGGGTTCCATGAGAGATTGTAATTGGAAAAAAAAGTTTTATTTTATTTTATTTTTTCAGTTTATATAGCCACCCATCTCACATACGTATTCTGGGCGGCTCACAAAGTTAAAACACACACACACAAAAAAATACAAAACATAACCAAAATCATACAGATGACATTCCTTTGTAGACAGGAACCATAACATGCCTCTGGTGCCAGATTTGATGGGATGGCTAGATTTAACTGGGAAGAGGCAGTCCCTCAAAGAACTCAGTGGGCCATGTGTTTGGGACCCCTACTTTTTTCCCTGTAGATAGATGCTAACTTCAGTTAATCTTTCTGACTTGAACAGTAAACATCATTTTATTCTTGTTTTTAAACAGTCTGCTAGTGACTGAACCTATTTATATTTTCTCCATGTTCCACTAAATCAAGTTACTAAAATAAACAGAAGACTTCCAAATCAGAAAAGATTGGTGGTGGTAGCCAGATCAAGTATATTTCTTAAAGAAATATATGTCCCATTATTTCTTAAGGGATATCCAGTTGGCTGGCCTGGAATCAAAAGGTATAATTGGGTATCATCAGCATATTGATAATACCAAACCCCAAACTGGCAGCTTAATGTAGATGTTAAACATGAGGGGAGAATGCATTGAGCCCTGCAGCACCCCCATAAGGGTCTGGGAGGCAACCTCTCCCTCTGCACCCACCAACACTGGAAGAAGGATGAGAACCACAATAAAAAAGTGCCCCAAATTCCTAACTCCCACAGCTGGTCAAGAAGGATACCACGATTGACAGTATTTGAAGGGTGCTGAGAGGTCAAGGAACACTAGGATGGACACCACTTCCATCCCGGCTCCACCAAGGTCATCAAATGCAACCAAGTCTATCTCAGTACTGAAATCCAACTGAAAAGGGTCTATATAATCTACTTCCTCCAGGATTCTCTGCAACTGCAGACTGACCACCTTCTCAACAACATTCTCCCAAAAGGGAAGGTTGGAAACAGGACAATAGTTGTCTAAAATTGTTGGGCCCAAGGCTGGCCTCTTGAGGATAGGGTGCACCACTGCCTCCTTCAAGCTGAAGGCACCACCCCCTCTCTCAATGAGGCCAACATCGCAGTCATCAACATCTTTAACCTCAACTGCCTTCGAAGAACCTGTATCACCATAGTAATAATATATAACCTATAATTAATTACAGATGGGCAGCCCCATGACATATGTATCAAAGTTTTTTTCAAATTTATTATACCTCCAGCATATAAATGATGAGAGCCAACCTTTTATAAATGTTCTCTGAGGGATTCAAAAGACTGTAAAAAGAATGTTTTGCTGAACTAGTTGGGTTTTAAGTCATAACAAAGAATTCTATTATTTTTTAAAACCTGAAGCCACTGATGAGGTAATAGAGGATACTCCAGTTCTGTATTCCAAATTTTACTGTTGTATATTGTTCAAATTTATTTTTGATTTTTTAAAAAAGTTGTAATAATACATTGTCAATGTTACTTCAGTAGAGGCCTTCTCCAACAGTCTTAATGCCTCTGGAGTTTCAGAGGCTGGTGATACTCATGAATTGTGCCTGATGAAACTGTTTGTCTTAAAATGTAACTTTGATGTCACTTGAGAGAGGTGTTTTAGTTTTTGTCCCCCTTGTCACAATGGAATAAACCTGGCAGCGCTTTGCTTTGCTTGTGAACCTGCCTCCTCCTCATACTTGCCCTTTGTTTTGGCAGTCAGGGTACCTGATGTTAAAATATTTCACATGCAATTTTTATTGTTTGCTGTACTGTTCAGTGATATGTCAAGCCTGGTATGTCAATAAGCACAAGAAAAGCTGAAGAATATAAATTGGTGTGATGTCTCCAGGTCACTTTTAGACCATTGTGTTTAACATATGTGACATGTCTGAGTTAGCTAGTGATTGAATTAATGTTCATGATTGACAGGGAATGCTTGCTTGTGACAGGCAGAAGCCTATAGCATCCATCAACATGTGCAATGACATGGGCATGTCAACTTTTAACAGCTTTTTAATGGTTTCTGCAAGTCTAATGTATTAAAAATGCATGGTTCTGTTAACATTTGGGAGCACATGGACAGCAAGTGTACACAGCAATCATCTGCTTTCTCTCGCATGGCAGTTTAAATGCATGTTTGTTTTATTTAATGGAAATCTTCCATCAAATGAATCAGAAAGAGAACATAGAGAGCGACCTTCTACAACTTTACACTTTCTAAATGTTTTGGACAGCAGCTCTCAGCAGCAGCAGCCAGCATGGCCACTGGGATTATATTACGTGTAGTCTGACATATCTGGAGGATATTGGTTACGGAATACATGTGGCATCGTGGTTAGCTTGCTGAACAAGGAGTAGGCAGACTCTTTCTCAGGATAACCAATAAGGAGTGGACTTTGCAACAGTCACACTATCTCAGCTGAATCCAATCACTCATGATTGTTCTGAGGAAAAAAGTTGGAGAAGAAATTTTGGATCAGTTAACTATATTGAGAGAATTAGTAAAAATAACTAGTACATTTTAGCAATTTTTTTGTGAACATGCAATGTTGCAGAGGAAGTCACCTGCAAAAATTTAAGAAGAGAATTAGTGATAAATTCTTTGTTTGATTCTTAGATAGACATCTGGAAAGGAACCAAAATGGATTTAAAGAAACACTGTACAGCTATTGGGAGTATGACTGATCTATGTAAATCTACCTCAGAATAATGATACCTGACATAAAAATATTTAAAGATCTGGGGAGTAGAGGCTATCTCAGATTGTCTGCTCAAGTATCTGTCAAACATGAGATGTGAACATTTAAATAAATATTAGACTAGAAAACTATAAAAGGAAAATTCATATTGAAATCACTGAATGGACAACTTAGAGGTTTCTTGTTTCCTTTCTTTTTTACTGTGTGATTGAGAAAGATCTGCTGAGCAATAACATTGCAATGTTATAGAAATGACTTAATTATTTGATTATATGAATTCTGTCCTATGCTGATCCAACTTTGGAGTCCTTTGATACTATTTTCCCCTTTTTAACCTGCAATAGAATTTTGCTTAGTAAGATATATTTTCCTCAGAGAATTATTTAAGGATAATTCTTTATCTTTTATAGTCTATATTATTTTATAATCCTGAGATGACATATGTTCCCAGAGTTTAGCAGTGTGCTTACTTAACTCTTAAATATATCTGGTTATTCAAAATCTCAACTAAAGTAGATACATACAAAGGGATGTGCCTATTTCAACATTATTGCTCTCTCACATACTAAGTGAGTTAAACGTTCTGCATAAAAACAGCTTGGTATTTAATTATTTAAAATGTGCTTTATCCCTATCTAAATCTGAAAGGATTCTAGGCATTTTAGATATAATAAAAATTTAATAAAACAATAATAAACATTATTAAATGGCAATATTAAGTCATAATACATTACCTAATATAGGCACCAGTGACTCTACAATTAATCCCCAAAGGCCCTTGAAAGAGCCAGGTTTTTACTATCTTCCAGAAGGCTATGTCAGTTGGGGCCATCCTCATCTCAGGAACAGGCTGTTCCCTAAGAAGGGAACTCCCACAGAGAACAGTCACCACCAAGCCCCCTTCTGCTGCACATCCTGTTGGGTGGGAACCCTCAGTAGATATTCCCAGGCTATCCAGTTAGGATGGGCAAAACTACCTGGGAGAGGTACCCAGATCCTGAGTCATATAGGCCTTTAAAAGTAGCAACTAGCACCATAAATTGCACTCAGAAACACACTGATAATCAGTGCAGCTCCTGCAGCAATGATGTAATGTGGCAGTATCACAACTTTCCCATAAGCATGTAAGCCATTGAATTTTGGACCAGCTGAAATCTCTAAGGACAGCAAATTACAGCAGTATAACCAAGGGGGGAGAAGGGCATAAGTGGCTATCATCACAGCATCCTGTTCCAGATAAGTCTGCAATAGGTGCTCCAGCTTTTGCCTGCTCCTTGAGCAGGAGCTGAGAGTCCAGGAAGACTTTCAGATTGTAAGCCTGGTCTCTTTGGGGAAGCACGTGTCCATTGAGGATCAAAGTTGGTACAATTCTGGAATCACTGGGGTGGGGTGGGGTGGGAATACCTCAAGCATGGGGATGGCTAGCCCCATAGAGGCCTT